ACCAACCTGGGTTTTATAATAAGTATAACTCGATATGAGTTGTCCCCCTTTCATTCTCGCGACAGCGATGCCACTTAATCGTGTTTTCAAATTGATTTCGTGCAAAAAAAACATTTTTGGCGTTTGTCAGAACCACCACGTAGTCCTGTGAAGTTTTGTTGAAATCGGTTGAAAAATGTAGGAAATCCGATCTAATATATAAACGAATAGACAACCTGGGTTTTATAAGTATGATTATTGATTAATATTATATTTATATTAATATTATTGTATTTAGTATTTTTATCCTTATATATATATATATATATATATATATATATATATATATATAATTTGTACTTTATTTATCTCTTGATTTACTTAATTATTTAAGCTATTTTTTATATTATTTATTTTTTGTTTAATTTATTTTATTTTATCGATGTTAATAATAATAATAATAATAATAATAATAATAATGAATCTGCAACTTCTACGGGAAGGAAACTGAAAGAAAATGGTATGAACACCACCCAGACCCGGTTACGGAGATAGGACCTGTTACAATTCTATGGGACTACACAATACACACTGACAGAACAATCAAACCAACCGCTCAGACATTGTTCTTAAAGACCACAAACAAAAAAAAAGTGCCTTCTTATTGATATGGCAGTCCCTGCTGACTGCAATGTATCTTTGAAGATATTCAAAAAGCTGTCAAAATACAAGGACCTTGAAATAGAAATCTCGAAAATGTGGCACATGGGAACATCAACAATCCCTGTTGTAGTTGGAGCCCAAGGATTGGTTGGAAAAGATTCCAGTAGACTAATTGAAGGGATTCCTGGAAGTCCATGCCTCAAAGAGATACAAAAAAAAGTACAGCCCACACCTTACGAAGGGCTTTATCTATGTAATTTTTTTTTCTTGTCAGTGGAAAGTCATGACGCCATTTCTAACCTTAGGTCCCTGGGCGGGACCCGGTAAGAAATGTGTAAACGCCAGAAATCAAAGATAATAATAATAATAATAATTTGAAATTGTGATGATTGTTATAATGCTATGATGAGTTTTGCTGTCTGAAATGAAATGACTATTATTTTAATTCTTTTAATTCTCATCATCACTTCCATTAACCAGTTTATTAAATCTTTATGGAAAAATTTGTTTCTGGCTCAACCTATTGCTTCATCTTTAATTCTTCCTTCTTTTCTCTCTCTCTCTCTCTCTCTCTCTCTCTCTCTCCTCCCTCCCTCCCTCCCCACCTCTCTCTCTTCCCCCTCTCTCATTCATTCTCCCCTATTTTTTTTTAATTTTGTATTGAAACTTTTATGTCTCCCATTTTTATTATAAAATTTCTTCCTTTTTCTATTCCTTTCTTTTTGGGCCTGATGTATTATACCATTTAGCTACAGGGGAAGCGACTGGTTAGCATAGTCAAATTACTGTTTTTAAACAACAAATTTCCAATGACTGTATAGCAAGTCAGGCCAAATATTTGTTCCGTGTAGGGTACAGGTTCTATTCCTGTCGGAGAATACATATTTTCTATGAAAATCAAAGCGAAACATGTTAAATTTATAAACGTTTCCTATCTGCTCCTTATCACACACACACACACACACACATATATATATATATATATATATATATATATATATATATATATATATATATATATATATATATGATAGCCTGAAGATAGATAGATAGATAGATATAAATATATTTCGTGATAAAGGAATAGACAGTTTAAAGCTATAAGAAATAACCCATTAATTCGTGAGAAATTCTATTGTTAGATACAGATAGTATGGAAATAATAATCAACACTAAATAGTGACTGTCGGTTTTGCTCTGACGATCGACTTGAGTCGTGAAAATGGCAGTCACTACGCAGCTGATTCCTCTGTTCAAATTGCATGCACACACGCATGTATTATATTGATACCGTATATACCCGTGTCTCATGCGACTTTTGAAGACCTTATTTTGAAACTAATTTGACTACAGTTGAGTAAATGGTCAACGGTGTATCCAGGGCCAGCAGTAGATTCGCTAATTGTATATATTTCGTGTATGAAGCGATCCCCTTAAAATTAGCTTCAAAATTAGGTCCTAAAAAGTCGCATGATATGCGAGTATATACGGTGGATAGATAGATAGATAGATAGATAGATAGATAGATAGATAGATAGATAGGGAGTGAACAGATAGATAGGGAGTGAACAGATAGATAGATAGATAGGGAGTGAATTTTTTATATCGTACTTAATATTAAAAATATTAAAGAAATATTAAAAATATAGCGTTAATAATTTTATTGTGTGTGTGTGTGTGTGTGTGTGTGTGTGTGTGTGTGTGTGTGTGTGTGTGTGTGTGTGTGTGTGTGAATAAAGACAACAGAAAAAATTTCTTTGGCAAAGGTTTTCGTTGTCTGATGAACTTGATCAGGTTAAAGAACAATTTTCCTTTTTTTCATTCATGTTGTCTTTTTACAGATATACTTTATTTATATCTGAATTTTACACACATATAATTATGCATTCTCATTAACTAAATACGTTTTTGTAAACAAGATGCAAAACAATCATTTGAACGAACGACAAAACGAAAGAACGAATAAACGCTTTTCTTTTTAATGTTGCTGCAATTAGCTTGTCATTGTCAGTTTGGGCGGTAACCAGTGTTATGGAGGATTATGACGGATTACACATGGTGATCTCTCGCTTTACACTCAATAACAAGGTAACATTCTACGCCACTCTGTGTATGCCCTGCTAGTAAATGTGTCCTAGAGATAGCCCCCTTGTTAAAAACTTCAACCGGAGGGCATATGTTGGAAGATTACCACCTGAAATATTTTAGCATTACGTACTGAATAATGAAAGAGAAATCCTTCACTGCTTAAGTGAGGTGGCGGGTGTCTGCAATAGACAAGGAATTGAGTTAGGTAGTGTAGTTTCACTTAAATATAATTTATCTGTGCAAAAGCATAAAGCTCAGAAAATATTATCGATAATTTAGACTTAGGACACTTATGATCATGGCTCTCCACGACTTCTTATGCATCTTAGCTCAAATCAATATTACTCACCTTACTTACTGCAATACTACACTTTCTTTTAAATGATTTAAAAATCTTGTTAAAGTAACTAAAATATATCCTATGCAATGTTAATTATATATAAATATATATATAATTCACATTGCATATATTTAGGTACTTTATGTGAATTATATATATTTATATTAAGAAATGGACAAAGTCCGACAATTTATTTATTAAAGACATTTTTTATGTTTAACGTTCTTTTTTATAGATACAAGTATTTAAGCAAATGCTCTGTTTATAATAAACAGTATTAAATAACATTTACCGGCCTTAATGTCCGAGAAATTTTCATAGAAAATATTCGTCCTTTGACAGGATTCGAACCTGCATCCTATACGGAACCGTCATTTACGCTGACGTGCCTTAACCGTCTCGGCCACAAAGGAGCGCTCGGTAGGCAATGTCGAATTTACTGCTTATAAATTTCAATCTTCCATGAATCTCGTACATTCATAACTGCTCTGGCGTATCAAATGTAAACAAATGACGTCATATAATAAGAAATGGGCAAAGTCCGACAATTTATTTATTAAAGACATTTTTTATCTCTAAAAAAGAACGTTAAACATAAAAAATGTCTTTAATATATATATATGTGTGTGTGTGTGACAAAAATATAGTTTGAATGTATGCTATATTTATGAGTAAAAGTGGTCAATATCAAGAATAGAGCGCAAATATAAAAGTGGAATTTGTCGTCAACACCGAGCAACAAAATCTGTTTCATGCTTGGACACAATCTTCAGGCTATCATATATATATATATATATATATATATATATATATATATATATATATATATATATATATTCTTTTCCACTGACGAAAAGTAGCAAGCCTCTCGTTGCACGTTGTCGTTGTTTCCATGTGCTCAGACGAGCTACATTCTATAGTTTCACTAGTTCTAACCTTCGCAGGTAAGGCCAGCCATACCACGCACATTGTCGAAACCCACCCTTATTGTCCACGCATCCCATTAGACATGTTTCTCTCGAAGGTCTAACTTGTAGAATCCATTCTTAAGTGGATGCTTTGCCGAACACTAGAACCTCGTGTTATCTTTCCCACATAACCTCATAAACATCGCTTCTTACCTCTTATTCATACAACAAACTACTTCGGTAACTCTCTGCCTCGAGTGGATCTTGGGCATTGTATTGGGTGAACATTATATATATATATATATATATATATATATATATATATATATATATTACCAATTTGTAATTGGTAGGATTATTCCAAGAAGGACTTTAGTCCAATGAGAGCTCAATGCAAGTTTAATATATATATATATATATATATATATATATATATATATATATATATATATATATCGTGATATCAGCTGGGAAATGGAAACAGTGACTCTACAATCATTGGCATTCCTTCTCCAATACTACTTTAATGCACCAAACTGCTCTATGTAAGCATTAGTGGAAACTTAAAGATAGAAGCTTTACCCCACAAATTAAATGGGGTATCATGTGTCAGTTTCAAACTCCCAACAACTTTCGAGACAGATGCAATCAATGTACACAGGAGAAGATCATAATAATTAAATATAAACATGTTGACCAATTGTTGAATCAAAGAACTGAACTTATTTTCAAGTTTAAACATAAGAACAAATTAAAAATTCTCTAAAAACATTGTGGGATATACACATAAAAATGTTTATTCTGATTTTAAATTCGTACAAACATATGTATGTACGTGTATTCATTGCCACACATTTTTATATATAGGTCTGTAGATATATTTAATTATTTATGTTATTGCTGCTTACATCATTTATAATTTTTTTCATTTAATATTTTTCTATTATTAATAGTATTATCTTTGCTATTTTGAACAATTCCAATTAACAATTCCAAGCCATTATTATTCCGAGCATCTTAAAACGGTCACCCATCTAGGTACTGACCAGGCTCGATGTTGCTTAACTTCGATGATCTTACGGGAACAGGTGTTTCAACGTGATATGGCTATAAGCCTAGACGTTTGTGTATGTTAGTTTGTGTACTAGAGTATGCAGTTCATCTTATCTATACAAATAAGACTAAGTTAACACTCTAATAAATTTGATGGCTTCTTTTTACAAAATTTCGCGTCACAATGTTTTAGAGAATATTCAACCATCCCTAGATATTTCGTTTTAGAACTGGAAAGTGAAAAGACTTTATACGAGTTTCAAAATCGGCCATTTATTAAAGCGTTTCAGAATCTGTTACTCGATTCAAATCCTCATTAACCAGCAGGACATAAGTGCCTATGTCTCACCACAGCTTCCGTTTTCTTGAAATGTGTAAATTCTGTTTGATTGTCTTGACAAAAAGAGAGTGTTTACCGTTAAAGTTTACATGATTCTAATTTCTGTTTTCCTTCTCCTACACTGGATGCCAACCAAGCAAAGAGAAAAAAAATATCTTTATTAATTCATATGTAGAGGAAAATATGTCACTTCATACTTTCCTCAACAATATCACTACAAAATGAGCGCAAAAGTGATTTGGCTTGAATGCGAACATGGTTCGCTGACGCTATTTTCCTCGGTGTTAACCGTTAAGCCACCCGAACTGGCCAACAAAATGCTTAAAACCGGACTAGACCTAAAGAAGATTTGTACCCTATCAAATTGGCACATCTGGTGTTGGAATACAACGTTTGAAAGTAATGTAAGGGGGGTATTAAAATGGATCCCCACGCGGATATGGACTGAATTTTCTTCTGTATCTGATTTTATTTAATATATTTACTTTTAGAAAATAGGAATCATAATTTAAAATCTTTTACAAGGACCATATCTCTCTTTTCCTTTTTCCTTGTCAACCAGTCAATGTTTCTGCCATCTCCAACGGAATCGTCAGTCTTCGCAAAATATTCAAGGGCAATGCTGACAATAAAATTAACCGTTTGCATACATGTGACATTTGGCATTTAAAGAACCTTCAATCAATGCTGAAATTTATAAAAACATTTTAAAATAGTCTTCAGGAAATTAGACATTTCAAGTTCAATAACTGTTATTGCTCTTTCTAGTATTGACAGAAGTTTCTTTCCGCACCTTCTGTGTAAGGAACGTTAAAATCTTATATTATCATTTGTTACCATTTTTTTGTTTCTGTTGACGTTGGGTGACTGATTCTTTTTGGCAATTTATCAACACTTTGCAGGTCATTTAAATACAGAAAATATTTTGAGACTGTAATAATTTTTTTAGATGATAATAATTTAATGATATAATTCTTACTAATTAACCCATAGCTGGGGAAGAAGTAATGGATGCATACCTTTGCCAATATTATTTGCAGGTAAGTAAATATAACAAACCAAACTGAAATTGGAACTCGGATCGCCGATTAAAAATTCCGATTCATTATCCATTACACCACCCGCACATCCAAGTTTACAGTACGTGGTATTCTCAAGTGGTCAACCATCTAGGAATCGACATTCGGTGGTCGTACGGGAACCTGTGTCAACGCTATATGGCCGTAAGCCAGTTGATGATGGAAGTTGTAAAGATATGGCTTTGTTATTTGTTAAGGCTCTTTGTGATTAGTAAAATTAGTTCTAGCATTGAAAAGGAAACAAAAACCATTTGAGTATCTTTCACAAGAACAACCATGAACAATTAACAAATTACAAGAAAAGGGAAGCTATGGAGGGCTATGATCAATGACCTCCTGAAAGATGATTGCATTTATGGAGGAGTCGGGTCGATAAAAAAAAGTTCTGAAAACCCTGCTTTTATTTTATTTTTTTTATTAAATGACTAATTTTCTATTAATAGTCTGATGTAGGATTGTTTACTTTAAAACCAAAACGATTCAGTTACTTGAAGCCATTTTTAACCTTTGTTAAAACGCGTGTATACAGGATCTGTCTATCAATAATTCAAAGTATCAAACGGTAACGATATTTTCGAGGAAGTGGAAGAAATGAAACCTTCTTGCTTCTGTGCGGATTTAAACACTGAAAGTCGAGGTGATAACTTGCTCGAACTGTAATAATTAGGACGTTCAACTCTTATTAATTTATGCAAAGGGAATTATATCAACATTGGTTTAGACTTAACCAAGCAGACGGACGTCATCGTCGTTAAATAATCAATAACAATTACACAAATACGTGGAGGAGATTTTCCTTTTAAGCTCTCAGATATAAATTTATTTCTTAAATAAAATTTAGTCAATGACATTTGTAGAAACGCGAATAGCGAAACGTAATCTCGTAAGATTAAGATAATCTTTTATGAAATTCTTTTCTGTCGCCTTCAATTTCGGCAGAAATTGTTTTATATTAGTTACACTTTGAATCCTAATCTAACAATATCAGTTGTCTTTATGTCTTCACAGGTTTTCATTTTGCTAATTGGTACTTACTCCTGGGTATGACGATAAACTGCATCCGACAGCATCGGGAGGTTTTGAGGCGAATGGAACTACCCCTTAATTGCTGCAGTTCCCAAGTCCACCCTGACCCGAGATGGTCATATTTGTTAAGGGTCCCAGCTATAGAAAAATAGTGTTTGGATTTTTGTTTGATGGTTCACTATAAAAATACATTATAACAAAAATACGAGCAATATATTTATTAAAAAATGGCCAGCAGTAACACATTTCTATAGCAAAATGACATATAGTAAAACATTTTTATGGCAAAATAACAATCAATGTAGTACTAAAGTATAAAATACAATTTTATAGTAAAACTACCAGAAATACATTTTATTATCTACAAACTATATATCTAAAAAAACATGAAAGTATAAAATAATGTATAAAATATCTGTAGTTGAAAAATTGTGTTCAAAAGGTTTAGATTTCGGCATTATTTAACCCATAGAGGTGTTGATATGCCACTAAACAAAATCAACCATACCAAAACTAATGTTTGTATTTAAGAAGGTAGTATTTAATACATAGAAAATATTAGATCATTAATCCATGCCTCATTAGAATGTTCAGGATCAAATTTTACATATACACACAAAAAAAAAACATTAGTCTCCATTGTTTTAAAAAAACTGTCTCCCATTGTTGATGTCATTTTCTTAAAAACTTCGTGTTTTTTTGTCGGAAGAAAATTGTAAGATATTTTTCAACTGACTTTTTTGTCATTGTTCCGTAGAGACTGGAAGAAATGGAAAATCGGAGTAGCTGCGTCAGGGGAATCTGTTAGGTGCTGGGAGGGTTTCTCATTTCAACCCTTCATGCTTCTGAAAGGTCTGTTTTGTAACATTTCATCTTGTGTTGTCGGGGTGGATTGGTTGTGTTTCGATTTGCCAAAATTAGTCGCTCTTCTTGAAACCCAAATCTCTTCAAATGGGAAAAGGCTGATGAAATATTGATTTTCAAACTTTTAGCAATCTCTTCCGTCAAAATCTTCAATTTATTCTCCACGATGTCAAGCTGAACTTCTTCATAGATTTCGAAAAGTCGCCCGGATCGTGAGTGATCATTTATGTTAAAATCATCCTGACGAAATCTGCCAAAGCATTTTTTTAAACACGCGAAAAGCTGTAGCTCGATCCAATTAAACCTTTTTTTATCGCTTACTATTTTCCGAAATTCATAAAGCATAATATGAGTACAATGCAACCTTTCATCCGCCATCTTTAAGATATTCATTTCTGAATAAAACGAAAACATTCAACAAAGTCTGACTCGCAATTGGATGATGCAAGGATTCAATCTAAAACACCCTAGAAATCGACAACAAAAACAAACGCCAGTTTGTAGAATTGATTATAATAATAATGAAACCCGGTCACGGACTTCTGCACTGACCTGATATATTCAGATAACTCGTAATCTTTATTGGAAAAAAGAATGCAGCAAGACAAAGGATTAGTGAATAGAGGAAGAAAAATAAACACAGAAAGTAAAAGAAAAATGTATTTTCCCACAGTATGTAGTTAACTTATACAGCGAGACGATCCTAAAAGAACGAGAAAAACTTTTAAGATTTATTATAATTTACTTTGCGTTAATGTCAGATTCAGAAAGGAACCTGAAGTAGCTTTTACACAAGATAAGATCAGAAGGCAAGAAGAATGGACTACCTTCTAACTGTAAAAAGACAGAATGCTTGGTCGTCAACAAAAGGGAAGAAAAGATGAGCTACACAACAGGAACGTCAAATATTTCTAATGTCTCCGCCTACAACTCTAAAAATTTATTTACTATTTATTTTATTTATTTACTATTTATTTTATTTTTTTCATTTTTTATTTATTTTTTCCACAATAGATAGATTCGCCTATTGTCCGGTTCACACTCCTTCCCGGAACACTCCTTCTTCTTGAACAGTATAGATTTATCCCCTGTTTCTTGTTTAGGGTTGGGTTTTCGATTCCTTCTAAAGTCTAATTCAACTCTATACTTTGATTCCAACTAAACTCTGAAAATTAATTCACTATATGTTTCTTCAATAGGTTCGCCTATCGCCCACTTCACACCTCTTAGTGATCTTTTGAACAGATGTAGAGATTCTTTGTTTCCTGTTTAGGAATAGGTTTCTAGTTGCTTCTAAAATGTTTTTATTCTCTTTCACTCTCAGTAGCCTTTTGCGTCTTATTGGCATTATCGCCTTGTATAAAGTGAAGTGATTAAAGTAAAATACAGAATGCAAAAATAAAGAACAAAACTGCTTGGTAACATTTAGAAGGATAAAAATTTTACTGTGAACCAAACACCCACCCTCCCACACCCCTGCATACGCATAGAAAATAAATTCAGTAAATACACAAAAATAAAAAAGGGTCTTTTGAAGGAATTAAATAAAATGCAGTAAGAGAAGATGAAGGATTGTAAAGTTTTTTTTTTATTTAATAACAATGAGGAAGATTATATTTATTGTTCAGTAAATCAGCGAGTCTGTAAAATAGAAAAATATAATTATTAGGCAAGGGAAGTAACTTTTATATTCTAAACTGTGGTTATTCCCCTTGTATGGAGGCACGGTGGAGTAACGGATAATGGCTC